GACAGAAGAATAAAAAGAGGAAAGGTGAAATTCTCTCTGCAGCTAGGCTATTAGGTAATCATTAGTATGCGCTTCATAGTAATTAGTAGGGCCTAACTGAAGAAACTGTATTTCTTATCCACATCTGAGCTGCTGTATTTCAGCTCTGTTCCCAGTCAAAATTTTTGCCGTGTTTGTATCGTCTTTGCGTAGGTTAAGAAAAAGGTAAAACCTTTGCTGACCTCCCAGTCACATTAGAAACAAATGAAAGGAAAAAAAATAGCATTTTAATACAAAAAAAAGTTTTAGAGTGTACAAGAATTGTGAAAAAATCCAAAATTGACCTGTCAGCTAGAGAGGGGGGAAAAGGAGCAAACTGGCTCCTTAAAAATATTTAAATAAAAAGAACAACACTGCATCATTATCTTTCTCTTTTTATATATATGTTTAGTTCAGTCTGTTCTTTGGTTTAGGCTTAAAATATTATTAGTTCAGAAAAAAAGATATATGTTTGGCAGCATTTGTTTAATATATTGAAAAAGAAAAAAACCCTAGTTTAAAAAAATCCCGTTTGCCGTTAGTGAGATGATTATTTTGGTGAGCCTATTGCTGCGTGTGCGTGTAATTCACTGCTGCTGCTTTGTTGGTTTTTTTCTCTGTTGCATTTAGGTTATCTAGTTTCAGATACAATCTATTAAATGGAGTATTTTTCAGTAGCCGAGGTTTTCCCACCTGTCTACCCTAAAACACCTGCAACGTATGTTTGTGTAACCCTGCAATGCTTTGTGGTTTGGGCCTTGAGAAATTCCCCCAGAGCTTTTTGCTTATAAACAGCTGAGCAATTCATTTCTCTAATGACGAGTGCTTTTCCCTTGGCATTGAGGCAATAGCATGTTCACTAAAATAAGTCTCATTTTTCATCAGACATATTGAAAATCTTTTTTCATTGTTGTCTCTTAGTTTGAGCCTTCAGATTTTGCACAAGATTGTATGTTTTATTTTTTTTTCTCTAAAGGGGGGGGGAAGGAAATACCTCAACAAAGAAGAAAAAAAGAGCGTTGAACAGATTCGTCCGCTTGCACCTGCGTGTAAACTTTTACAAATAATGTTTATTCAGATGGTGAAACGTCACATTGCAGCAGTAACCTGGGTTTCCTGGTATGTTGTAGAGCAGTCTGCCTGTGACTTCTGTCACGCACAAGTGTGCTTTGCTGTATCGTATCAACTCCATGGGTAATGTGACGCGATACATCTCCGGAGGAGAGGGAGGAAAAGGGTTGTACTAGGGAATTTGAGCATATGGAGCATGATCTTTAACTGGTGGGAATTGCTTTTCAGCGGTTTATGCAAGTTTAGGGAATCTCTGCTGCGTTCGGTGTGATTCCGACCACAGCCTCAGCCCCCCGCCTAGGAAAAGAGCGGGCGCAGGTATAACTTCACTCGTCCCCGTGTCCCTGGAGGAGGGTAAAGGCAAAGACAAGTTCCCCACAAACTCCTGCCAGCCGTGGGAACTGGAGTGGGCAGTCAGGTGGTGACTGGGAACAGAAGCAGGAGGACGGGGGTTAGGACTCCAGCAGTCAGGTCGAAGCGGGGGCATCTTTTAGGCAAGGAAGGGCTAAGAGGCAGGAGTACCTCCGAGATACCTGGCATCTCTTCCCTTTGGGCTGTGGCTAATACATTTTGAAGAGACAAAGTCCAAAATCGCATCAATTTCTATGTGTGTTTCTATATCTGAATTTCGTACATTGTCCTTTTAAAAGTATATATTGGGCATTTTCTGCCAGTTGAAACTAAACTCAGTCTAGCTAGAAATTAAGATTAGAAGAATTATTAAACCAGCAGGCCCCTCCTACAACCTGGGTGTGGGGAAAAACATAAATGTGTTAATCTGTATAATGCCCCTTACACAATTTCTTAGGGAGATTCAAAAACGCCCTAATTTGAAGGGTTGAGTTCTCTGTCATTTTAACAGCATTTTTATCCTTTAAGAAAAAAGATTTTATCTGAGGTACTAGTCAAAATACTTACATAAATTGAAAAAGAAAAGGAAAATCTTTACTCGTTTAAGGAATTAAAAATGTAAATGGGATCATTCCAAGTTGCCCTGTGTAGGAAAAAAATGTGTTTGCTCTGAATATTTTAGACAATGGAGTTATGTTTTGCTGTAAATAAATTTGTGTAGTCTTCTGTCCTAATAAATGGAGTGTAATATAGGGGATAGCTGAAATTGCATTCTTAGGGAGGAGAGTTGGTTTAAAATTGATAAGGAGGAGACACTGTAACTGTGTAGATTTCCCTTTCTACTTATTATATTTAAAAAGTAAAATTTAAAGGATGTCTTCACAATAACATAAAGATCTTCACAAAACCATATTTTTTGCTGACTGAAGTGTAGTTTTCAGATGTATTTAAAATTTCTGTGGGAATACTTCACAGATACTTGTCTGCTAACATGTATGTTTAGGAGGATTTTTTTTTAAATAATGGAATTTTCCAAAAGGATATCTCTGTGGTCTTACAAAAGGAATTGCAGCAGTAACCCTGGGTATTTACTGTCTTGCATTTCTAATGTTTTTTCAACAGCATTTTTTTCTCAGAGCTTTTTTTCACTGCATGTAATAGTACTTTAAACTGCTTCTTCCTTTGATACCTTAAACCTCATAGGAATTTAAATAGGCCCCTGTGAAAGTAATGCTTGAGCCTCATTCATATGTTCGAGTTAGATCATTATTCCTATTAATGGCTTTAAGTGCTTAGATAGTAGATCAGCCTTTCGTGTCTTGAATTGCTTGTCATTTCTGCATAAATATGTTTCAAGAAACCATCCCACATGATCTTTTCGATTTTTTTATTTTTTTTTAATTCAGAAGTAATGTGTAATCTTTTTTTTTATTTATTAGGTGGTGGAAAAGAAATTTTATTGGTTTTGTTAAGTTTAAAATATATACTGAGTTATTGGAAACAAACTGCAAAACTGACTAGCAGCTGGTAACGTGATTTTTTCAAAGGGCTGCCTTATGACTTAGAAGTGCCCGTTATTTTAACCATCTTACTCTTCCACCTTGTTGAAATGGTCATCAAGACACATAAAGAAAAAAGTTATTTAATTCATGGGAGAAAAGTTACACTGTTTTGATGACTTGCATAGTAGTTGCAGAACCATCAGTTATCCTCATCACGTCAGTTTGGATTTGATTATCATAGAAATGCATTGAATTACCAAACTAGAGCAATAGTAACTAAAGCTGATTCATTGTTATTGCTGTCAGTTGATGAGGACTGACTTATAAGCCATATGAACGGGTAAAGTTATGCAAATACTGGTTTTATAACAGGAGAAGAAAAACATACAGCGGCCATTACAATGTGGGTGGTAGGATAGATGAGGATTTTTTTAATGCTTGTCTAATAGCTTTTAGTTGTTGTTTCATTTTTTAATGAACATTACAAACAAGATATATTTTTAAAATGTTTAATGTGTTTCCAAAGAAAGAAAATGAGACATTTCATACAAGATTAAGTCTGACTTTGTGAAATGATCTGGAAATTCCCAGTCGTAAATTTGACCCCAGAAATCATCCTGGCCTTTGATATCTATCACCTCTTTACATCTTCCTCTCTCCTTTTGAGCCCATGCAATGTCTTGGTCTTTAAAATGCAGCTCCTATATCCTCCTCCAAAAATAAGAAGGTTTCCAAGAAAGGACAGTTACCTGCAGTTACATGGAAAATGAGAGGATAGGGTATGGATACTCCAGTCTATAATGAAATCATGAAGGCAGATATACAACATGTGAAACTGAAACAGCTGAAGAATGACTCTGTCAAAAATATAATGTACTCTCACCAGTGAACAACTGTTTCTGAAAGGTCACTGCGTAGTTCATTAAAACTATATTTACTGCTAGCAGGACTTGCGAAGGCAGATCAGAATATAAGGCAACAGCCTATGAATGAATAAACCTTTAAAGCAAATATTTGGAAAGTATTTAGATCTATTTTATACAATATATCTGATCATTATACAGAAATGTGCCATTTTGTTTTTTCTTACACTAGAAATTAATTATTTTAAACTATTTGTCTTCTAAATTTTATATGTACATAAAAGAGGTCCTCTCTGTAGCTCTGTTATTTTGATTTCATCCATATGTGATTTTTTAAACTTTAACTTTGCATCATTGTTTTTTGGGGTTTTTTCCAAGTAACGTCCTTCAGGATGCATTACTTTAATGAAAGATACGTTATGCGTACGATGTAGTCTACACTTACTCAATGTTCGGTGGCTTATTAGATCCAAAAAGGATGATTGCAGAACTACTGAAGGCAGCCTGCTTCAGCAAAATAGTTTCATTGTGGCAGAGGCGGAAACTAACAGGTGGTTTCTGGTTTCAATATTAATTATATACATTTTATTATAGGAGAACAATTTCTTTATTCGTGGCTTCTGTTTTGAGCAGAGCGAAATTTGGAGAGAAAAAAGGCTCCGTGTGCCATCTAGTGGCAATGTTCAGGTTGTCTTGCTAAATTTTAATTCTCTGCTTAAATGAGACAGTTAGCGATGCATTCAGTTCAAAATGTTAGCTATAGTTCCTCCTTACAATTGCCATTTTCTTTAAAAACATATCACTTTAGCTTGGAGATGGTAAAATTCTGTACCTGAGCTAAAGGAAGAAATCAGATCAATACCTGAACTTGTCCAGGATTTAGTTAGAACTGTTACCACTACAGCCGACAGCCCCATCGCTGTGCGGAGGAACGCAAATTTCTGTGAGCATGGGGTGGACTTACTGGTAACACTTGGTATTATTTTAGGTATTTTAAGACTTCACTTTTATGTAACTGGCATTACTGTCTTTAGAAATCAAGAAATCCTGGGAAAAGAAATTATTCTTGAAATTTCTATTCTTCATTAATGGAAATACTTCTTGTCTCTGCTTTAAATCTCCCAGAAAATTCCAATAAGGTATTCTTTTTTAAAAATATATAATTTTAAAAATTTTTTTAATTATGTTTTTTTAGAGAAATCCAAGACCAGTGACTCACCAATTCCAACAAAATTTAGATTATTACAAAGCACGTGGAGCAGACTTGATGAACAAAACCCGGTAAGCTATTTCTGAATATGTGTTCACTGAACTAAGACCTTACATAAACAAAATGTTTCAGAAGTCACTTTAATCCTAAACAGGAATTACATAAGCAGCAGTAGAAGCACACGTGTTTATTTTATGACATTTATTTTTAATCTTTACCTTGCCTATTATTACATGAAAAATGAAAGGTTTACAGAGAGCATTGTAGTCAGCTTGCTGGCATTTTTTTAAGGCTAAGGACATTTGTACGCAGCGACGTGTATACTAAAAGCAGGGGGTACAACGTTGCCAGTGTGAATTCTGTATCTGAACTACCTCTGATAATGCGTCTAATCGCAATCTGGAGCATCCACGTACCAGAAGCTGCGTAAGTTAAATCAAATTAATGTATATCCTATTTGAAGTAACTGTTACTAAACCTTTTTGCAGCATTCCTCCCTTGTTTTAGAAATAGTTTGTATGCGTACAGGTGATTTTTATCTAGTGGTCACGAGCGCAGAGGTGCCCGTGCCCGGACTGGGTGGCCACGACGTGGGTGCCGATTGCTGGTGGCCGGTGGCTGCTGGTGGCTGCGGGGCATGACGCGATGCCTTGCTTCAGTTCATACTGTCACAGGCAGTTTTTTGGATTGCACGTGGCCCCAGCCATATACTGTGCTTGCTGATTCATAGGAACTTGCTGGCTTTCAGATGTTTGCACCTCTGTCAAATTCTGTTTAAATCAGTTACGTTAAAAGCTAGCTAAAATTAAAATGGAGTGGATTAAAAAGATCTTAAAAATGGAGAAAGGAGCAGAAATTAAAGCTGAGTAGAGCAACTGCAAAAGCATCTTTTTTATTTTTCAAACTAGGCTTTAAAGTTGGGGAAGGGTGTCAAAAATTACTGCATTCTGTTGCATTTTCTTAATGTTTTTACTTGTTTGTGCTTTTAAAAAATGGTCTTGAGAGTTGCCTAAACTTGAAAAATGTGTTATTTGAAAAATCCGAAAGAAACATTTCTAGGATTATTTAAAAAAAAAAATCATAAAGCCCAAACAAGAATTACACCTGTTGGAAGCCTAAATTCTAAGGAAACAAATGTCCATTCAATCTATGTAGGAGTATATATATACACACAAGATTGACATCAAAGGAGAGGAGAATCTCCTTAGAATAGTTCAGATAGAGGAATAACTGACATAAATTTATCTCAACACAGGAACATTTAGAGTAGGTCAGATGTGGTAAATCTGTTTAAGATTGGACTAAAGAGAGAACTGGAAGATGTAACATTAGGAAATGTTTCTGCAGTCAGCAGAGAGATGGATTAGATCAGCTACCAGGTCTTTTTCATCTTTAATTCCACAGGCTCAATGATATATTTAAAATATCTTGGCAAATCTCTAATAGATATTGCTTATTTTATCATATATAAATCTTTTTAATCCATCATATTCATATTTTGTCTCTCATAATGGCTACTTACTGAAGAGAGAAATGCCTTCGAATAAGGCTTGCTTAAAACAAAACATTTTCATCTTAGCAGAAAACTGCAGAGATTGAATCATCTTCCTACTGCTAGTTTAAAAATATGCTATTCACAGTCAAGGTCAATGATGCTTATTGTGATGAAACAAAATTGTTTGCTTCATAGATGGAATTCACGTCTCCTTGATAGTCGTATTTTTAAACCAATGCCTTACTTTTAAATGCATCTGCTGATAACTCTACAACTTAATCAATCAGCATTTTTCTTGTAATTGTTGTGCATGTCTGGTACATTTAGATGGCTAAAATGTAAGCATTGTGTTTAATGGCTGTAATCATCCTTTGCATTAATATATCAGACATTTAAATGGTAAGAAATACATTGTTCTTATTTTCCTGAACTTCAGCTCAGTTTTAACGTACCTCCTCCACAGATCTAGCACCTCTCTATTGTTCATTTTCTGAAGCTGCGATTCAGAGAAATTGCACAATAAATTTTACTTCAGAATACTTTTATTAAGACCACCTCTTGACAAGAAGTTTAGATAGCATCATTATTTATTTCTCATGTATGTGTATGTGTTCTGAGCTGATCATTAGCAGTGTTAGTTCATAGCAGATCCAAATCACACATAGGTATTAGCAGCTGCAATAACTGTCCTTTCTAGTTCTTAAATAATTACAAAACATTATTGCACGTTATTGTGGAAAGCATTTTTTAAAATCATATTTTGGACATAATGGCTTAGAGAAGATTTTTGATGTTTATTGTTCCTGTAAAGTGAAACTTCCCAAAACAGTCTCTTTCCAAGCATCTGAAAATTCAAATAAACTAACTTCTCCTGGTCTACATACATGTCAAAGCAGCAAATTAAACAGTGTAGAAGGAAAACTAATATGTTTTATTAAGCAAAATATAGTTGAAAAAAAGAAGCAAGAAGGAAACAAGCTGGTAGACATAAACACACAAACTTCTGTATAAGCTTTGTCTCCTGCCTCTCTTGACCATCATGATTCTAATGAGGCAGTTAGCTCAAAGCATCCAGTGGCTTTGTTGCTTGAGTAGCCTGTCAGAGAATAAGATTTACTTCCAGTAAATGTCATTTTTTGTGCAATGTCAAGGGGGTTTTTTACTGATTGTCAAGGCTCTAGACCTAGAGACAAACCTAGGACTCAACGTGCAAGCCATTACCTTCTTTCTAAGGTGATGTTTCAGGTGACTGAGTGATATATACCACTCCAGTCTTGGTGATTAAGTTCAGTAGACTGAGGGAAAAAAATATGCCAAATATACTAAAGTTTGGATTCTGAACCTCAACCAAGTTATTATTGGTATGACCCCTGCAATCAGTGATGTAATTAGATTCATTGCAAACTGTCGGTAACTGATTGATATCTGCTAAGCCAGAATTTGGCCTTTCTTCTTCCAGCTTCAAAGCTACAATCTTTGTTTTCTTTCTGGAATGGAGAAGACATTAAACAAAAGTCCCTGTGCTGACTTTTCTGATGCCACATAGATGTGATGGAATAGAAAAAAATCCCTTTTTTTCCTGAAGTGTCTCTGCAGTACCTTGGGAAACTGATTAATACCTGAATCTGCTAGGTAATAGCAGAGTAAAATTCAATAGTAATAAGCATTGTACAATGTCCTCTTCCTTAAAATTGTTAGAATCTATTCAGTTTGCTTTTGAAACCATTTAGGACTCCTGCAAGAGTACTTTAAAGTTCTGAAGATGCTCTCTTTTTAGTGACTTTGTCAGTAATTCTCAGGTGGCTACAGAAAGGCTTTTTGTAATAGTGGCAGCAATCAATAAAATGGAGAGACACAGAAACATCCCGTAATCGTTATTCAGCTATTATTCCTTTCCAGCTTCCCTAAATTGGGAAGCAGCACATTGCCCCCACCTCTGTGCTGCTGTTACTCCTAAAAAACGCTACGTGCTGTCTTTCCTCATCACCAGTATATGGCAGAAGGGCCCCGTACAGCTTGGAGCTCTCTCTCGTGAATGTGCAGGCTCACGTACTTTCTTCTGCTTTCTCTCATTTTAACCGTATCTATTCTGAGTCTAAACAACTCAACTGTTGTTATTTTCTGAATATGTTCTATATATGTGTGAGCATTTCTATTGTGTATTCTATAAAAAAACATATCAAGAGACAAATAGGGAAATGATATGAAAAGCCAAATCAAAATTACTTTTCCAGGTGCCAGTGCAAATTACAAGTCACCTATATTAATTCATTTGTAATTTATTTTTACTTAAACTTCCCCAAAACATTGGAAAACTATTTTTCCCCAGTACAATGATTGTATTGGTTTTTATTAAATGTATTTCTTCACATTTTTTAAAGACAGCTATTTATATCATTGAAGTACAGATCACTAAAATAAAACCTCAGGAGCAGAATGGTCTCTGTGATTGTGATATATTTCTGTGAAGGGTATTTCAAGCATTAATTATATAAAACAGGAAAATATTGCATGAATAAATAGGAATGGCTTTGCTGATCTCTGGGTTATGTGAACACTTCTATTGGGAATTAGAAGCTCCTTTGCCTCTTTATTTTAGATAGATTAAGTGGTTCGACAATTTCCTCGTCCTTAATGTTGCATATAAGTGAAGTGAATTAAATAGCCGCTGTAGTTAAAAAGTAACAATGATAAGGGTTGTGATCCAGTATATCTGTTATACCCTGAAGCCATTCTTCAGCCAAAATCACTTTTGAAATCAGGATTCCTGTTAAAAAGCACTTGGTTTGAAATGGCTGGGCTGGGCAGAAGGTGAAGAGACATCGAGCTCTGCCAACCTAAAAATAGAGTCAAGTGTTAGTTTTGCTTGTTGAAAGAAGTGTTTGGGTTTGAGTTATTTTAAACAGTTAAGAGAATTTAATGTAGCGGAAGCAAATATTAAAGCAGTCTTTGATTCAAAGAAGTGCAAAAAGTCAGTTTTATGAAGCTTTCGGTGCTTTAGAGCCTGGATTGGTTTTTTGCCACTCTCTTTTTTTTTTTTTTATTTAAAAAGGCAAATTAAGAAAATTGGTGCAAACTTACTTTGTTTGGGGTTAGTTTGCATTTTTCAGGAAGAAAGGGACAAAACAATTTGCCCGCTACTGGGTGGGAAAAACTCGCACCACATGCAGTCCCTGTGGTTCCTGTGTATATTCCAGTGTGACTGTGGTAAAACACCCTCTTCGTAATGTTCGAATCCTGGATTTCCCGCCCCCCCGCCCCATTTTTGGAGAACAATGCATGCATTGCTATATCTGTCCAAACTGTTGGCAAAGATGCGATAATTTCTGCTCTTCTTTTTTCAGCGCCAGTGCTAAGGCTGCCCCACTGAACATTAACAAAGTCTCCAACAGCTTACTGAATTTTGGCCGAAAGCTCATTGCTCCGGCGATGGCTTCAGGTGGGGCTGTGGGTGCTCCCGCCAGTGGGAGCAGCTTTCCTCCCCCTGCAGTGCCCATCAGAAGCTCAGTGGAAACCCCCCAGCACCACCACCACCACCACCACCAGCCTCACCACCACCAGGCACAGCAGCAGAGGATGATGAAGTCCGAAAGCATGCCAGTTCAGCTGGGCAAAGGTAAAGGTGAAACCCATGGCAGGGAAGCTTTCTCGTACGCCTTAAGGACTGAAGAAAGTCCTTTTATTGATTCTATATCAATGGGGACATGTTTGGAGGAAACAGAAGAAACGATTTTGTTAAGCAGAACATCCATGAACAGCACATTTGCAATGTAATACAGAATTAGATGTTATCTCAAGAATGTACAAATATTATAGTAAGTTTTGAACCTTTAAAAAAATATTAACCAGAAATTACAGCAGAGATACCAACAAACTACATCGTTACCATAAACATTAGCCAATTAATTTTTCAGTCTTTTGAATGCAACATATTTGTAACTGTAAGACTAATTTCGTATAGGCTTTTTCAGGTAATTGGCACAAATCCCATGCGTAACAATATTAGCCAAATACGAGTGAAGGAAGTTAGATCAATTACAGAGTAATTCTTAATAAATGAAATCTCATTCCCTTTAGAATGTGTGGAGCTTATTTGAGAAGTTACTTGAACAGTAACACGTATTTGCCTCTTAATAATTTGTGATGACCCTCTCCACTTTCTGTTTGGTAAATACTACTTTTTCTTGAGCCTTGTTTTTATATTTCTCAAGGACAGTTTATTCAAACAACAGAGCCACAAGCTCAGCTTCCGTAGTTGTTGCCTATACTCTGCCAGGCTCAAGGTGTGTTACTGCTTTTCATCTTCAAACAGCCTATGGCGGTATGTTCTTTGCGAAGAGTATGTGCAGTGGTACGGTATCTGCTGCTTCTAGCAACTCATCCTAGGTGATGGTTATAAGTTTGAGGACTGGTGCTGGTTGCCCTGAACCATTATGTAGTATTGCATCATATTTTTCACCCGATTTGAAAGTGTAAGAGAAGGGAAATAACACATTGTAGCTGAAGTTGGTGTCCTGACCCATGTGGTCCAAAGTTAGTCCTTTCATGATGCATTGCATCCCCAGCAGACATTGAGGGAGCAGAATTCAGAGGCACAACTGTTGGCTTGAAGCAGAGAGATGCAGGCACTTTTGAAGGGCCGCTAAAGCTGCTGGGCAAAATCCAGATGCACAGCTTCTCTCAGAATCCTAGAAGAATCTCAGAAATTGCTCCAGCAAGGGTTTTACAGTCCTCGATGATGTGCAAATGTGACACTGAAACTGTGATTTCTCTGCTGGGAGATGGCCTTGTTTGCTTTGTAGTTAACTATTGCCATGTATAGTCCTGTTTGAATCCTTGATGCAAATCCTGCTCACATCAATGGAAGTAAAATTAGGTGTGAAATGAAATAATTTCCACAATTTTGGACAGGCTCTTTTGTTTGCTTTTAAAAAAAAAGTTTTCCCTAGTTCCCTTATCACATGCTTAGGTTTTTTACCTTTTGGGCTGCAAAATGGTCCTCAGATAGTTATTTTCTTTTCCCTACTTAATATGAAAAAGTTGTAAAATTTGTAGCAACTTCTATAGGCGGAATTGACTGTAGCTTAATCTTGATCTGGCTGGTCAAGGATGACCCTGTTTATACTTGTATGTGCCAAGTAGCATATTACATCATCCAGAAATGCACCTGACATTTTCTGTACAAGAATCAGAATAAAAACTGTAGTTATGTTTGGTCATTGTCATGTATAAACTCTGCACATATTTCTTTATCAGCTGGAATATGGAGAATTGGTAAAGTTATCAAGCAATTATGTAAATTTATAATGTAGGGCACAAAACATTTTCATGGTAAGAGGAAGTAAAACATACTGTAGTACTATGGTACCTGCAGCTTCCTCTCACTCTATTCTGTTTATCCCTATTTGAAACAACACTTGCAGAAGTAATTTAAAGGCAATAAAATGTAAATATACTTTTTTTTTTAATAGGTTGAGATGATAGTTTTGTTTTACATATTAGTGCCATACTTGTTGTTCCAGACCTGTACAGTTATCCATATATTCCCTGCAGTTGGATAGAAATTGTGAATGATGGCAGCTAGCCACATCTGCAAGTGCTGTAATTTATATTTTTAAAGAGAAGTCTAAATGGCAGAGGAAATATGAAGTCTCCTAGAGGCTGCCCAGTGAATTCTCTCTGAAGTAATTTTACATGTAGGAATAGCTTAGCAAAAAAAAAATCCCTATTTGCAACGATGCTGTGGCAGAGACAGGTTAAAAAGACCCTTTTGAAGCACGATGCAGATACCTTTGTAAACAATGCAGCACCATCTCCACCACACCTTAAAATGGAGAATAACTTCTCAACTTCTGTGCAGAAGGACAGCAGTATCACCACCTCAAGAAAGTGCTGTACAGCATCTCCGGAGCTCTGAGAAGTTGTGGATACTTCTATCCCAGGCATTAGGATTTAGGATTTAGGATATATCCATCCCCAGAGAAGCTCTCATTCCACTCCTGTTTGTGCTGAACTTCTTACATGCCTTTTTACCATCTGCACTCCTTTTCAAATTCTGGATTCTGCTCTAGCTTTTGAGTATCTAGAAACTACTTGGCATGGTCTGTAACTATAAGGCTCCCCAAGTTATTGACTAGCTGCCACTAGTTGTCTCATGTTGCTGTTCTTCTTCACTGTGTTTTCAGCTCCCCACAGCCTCCTGGAGCTTGGTTATGTAGCTGAGATAGGCAGAGGCATGGATTTAGGATTGACATGGATAGACGTTTGCACTTCCAGTTGATGTAACACTCACGGAAGCTCAGTTGGACAGTGTAACGGACTGAAGTCCTGTAAATCTGACAGGCATAAAGACAGTAAAGGAAGTTATCAATTTTTCTCATACTATATTAGTCCTTTCAGGTTTTGAATGCTCAAGTAGCGCTGATAAATTAATATGTAGAGGGTTATTAAGTTTGAAGAGATTAAATTAATTGCCTGATCTACTTTTTTTTATTAAGTGTGAAGAAGTCCTTGGTAACAAAATATCTTGCAGGACTGGCAACATAATCCTATCCCAGCATTAACAGGTCTGTTTAGACAGAGTTGCCAGACAGCAGCAGCAGTGACTGGTGCCATTCGTGCTGTCACCTCCAGGGGTAGCTTGTGCTGTGCTCTAGGTCAAGGATGGTTGCTTTACGTAGTCGATAGTAACTATTTCTCACTCCGAAGTTTTGGTGCTTGCTGAATTTCTGTAAGAGAAAAACGCATATAATTCAGATAATATAAATGGAAAAACAACGGACTAATGTTAAAAAAAACCCCTCATAATTGCAAGCCTGTAATTCCAGATGAGTCTTCAGCATCACAAATCACAGCTGAACAAAGTATCCAGGGACCTAATTGGAAATTCAGTTCCTTCTAATAATATACTAATCCCATTCAGCCTGTCCTCAGCGCAGAAGAAGATTGGATATCATTACTGCTTACTTATGCAAGGTAGCCTGCTAATAGAAAAGGGATTAAAATATTCTCTTGATCCTACATAATGAGGGTATTCATTGGCACAAAGTTTAAACTCAAATCTTAAGTTCATTGGGTTGTCGGTTGAATTCATTGTCTTGAAAGACAAAAATATTGGTAATGAAAAAGTCTGGAAAAAAAGCAGAATTGTTGCCCTTTGCGTTCCACTGGATTCATGAGTGTGCAGAAACTGGATACTCTTTGATTACCAAATGGCAGTGTGGTGCCGGAAAAAAAAGCATTTCTCTTTCACTTCTTCCCTGATAGTGCCAGATACAGTTTTCCTTCTAGGTCCTTTCACGCTGAAACCAAAGACTTTTTTGGGAATGCCATTTTATCACAAGGACATGTTAGAGGACCAGTTTGAAGATGAAGTTCTGCCAAAACTGTGATCAGCTATTTAAAGAGTTTCCATACTACTGTTTGTTTTTATGAGTTGATACTTCTGCGGTATTTGTTATAATATGAACAGAATTTCCAGTCACCCAATAGGCCCTAAAGAAATGATCTCCATATTTAGAATTATTTATAAACTGAGTCTGGAAAATTAGTATGCTTTTTCAGAAGGAAAAAGAAGTTGTCTGTACTGATAGCAGAACTGAGTAGAAATTAAAGAAACAACCCACTGATTAACAAATGCTTTTTTTCCTTTTTTAAAAAAATATAAATACACATATTCTTAGGTAATTGTGTTATTGACAATAAGAATATGATGCTCCCAAACTAGCAGGATGACACTGCCAGTGTAAAGTACCAGAAACAAAATGGGTTTGATTGTTTGTTTTAGTCCAGATTTTAATATAATCAGTCTCTTAAAAACACTGCTTTTTCACACATGTTTGAATGCAGCATATAATGCACTTATTATTAAAACTTCCCATTTTGTTTTTTCCCGCTCTTACAATATCATTTGTGTTCGAAGCAGGGTCTTCCAGCTAAAAACCCCAAAGCTGCAGCTCTTCAGCGAATTGCATTTGTTCAGGAGACCTTCTAACGCTGTTGTTTGTTTACCAGGCGAGGCGGGCCGCAGGCGGCGATGCTGGGCTGCCGGGCCCTGCGCAGCATCCCCCTGCCCTCCCAGGTACGGCTGCTGCAGCCACGGCGGATCTTTCTGTGCCTGCAGCGTTACCCTCCGGCTGCCCAACCACCCCCGGCCCCCCGCGGGTTTTTTCCATGCGTGGCATCTCCATTCACTGCCGTTGTCCATCCACCGAGTGGCACTGTTGTGTAAAGAGAGAAAAAGCAGCTTCACTTCATCACTCCTTGACTGTGCTGTGTGTGGCCCTTCGGTTATGTTCGCTGTACACCAGCATCCGTCTTCGTTAAAAATGTGTGTTTGCCTTGACCTCTGTAGTCCATTTCACAATTTGTCATGTGGGGCAATTCGACCATCAACGCCTCTTTTAGTCACGTTACTTCCCTGTTGTTAAATTTGAGGCAAGTATTTTGAGCTGAACGTTTACTTTAATGCACTTGGCTAAAGAGGAACTTACCTGCCTCGGCCTGAAAAAATAAGCATGGGGATTTGTGTGATGAGATGGTTTGAATAAGTTTGAAAAGTGCTGGAAGCCTTTGTTCCAATTTCAGTGTAGGAGAAAAAAGGGAAACTAATTTATCTGAAGTTTAAAAGTTTTATAAAACTGATACCATGCTTTTTGCAAATTTTAATACTCTACATCCTGACTATGGCAAATACAGTGTAATAGATGAGCAGATGTGAATGGTTTTGAATTATAGATCGTGCCTTACTTCTGTTCTGCTTGGTATCTTTGTCCTTGCTCTCTTTATAACTATGAAAGCTATTCTTTTCCTCTGTAGGGGCCAGACAGGATGAACCATCAGTTTTGTAATCCTTTTGTGCTTCTTCCTCTGATTTTTCCTATATTTTAGTAGAGACCTCCAAAGTTCATGGTTATCTCCCCTATAACTTAACTCAAACTTAGTAAGACCTGCAGTTTGCTTTTCTTTCATTGTAAGTCTTCTCCACTCCTCTCATCATCATCTTTCACTTTATTATAAATCCTTATTATCGATCACGTTACATTTCAACTTTCCATCTTCCATCACGTCTCCACCGTCTGCCCTGCCAGCAATACCAAGAGTTGAGTCGCTTCTCCGACCACCTCATCCGTGTATTTCCCAAAGGGTTTTGAGACAGCGCATTTGTAACCCTGGGGTCAGCCCCAACAATCATTAGCAACAGGCAAGTAGTGAGCCAGTTAGAAGCCAGCATATGGAGGTAATGATGCTCCTTTTCACCTTGTCAGGGGATGTATTTTTAGTTCACGATATCTTGTGCATCATTACTGTGAACTATTGATGCATTTTAGTGTGCATATATATATTTTTGAGACATCCTACATGGTAATGTGTTCTGACTACTGCTTACATCAGGGATCCTTAGCTATTTGTTGTGTGTGCCTCATAAGCATTTATTTGATTTCCATGCTTGGGGCTTCTTCAGCCTGGTTCATATAGGCTTTAGGACCTTCTGGTATATGCTTAGATGGTCAGAGATTAGATTTCTCTAATCTTCTTTTAAGAAGGCATGATGTATTTATCTGAGATTGATAGAGTGAGCAGAGGAAAATGAGAGTTTTGGTTCAGTGATGTTCTCAGGTTGCCGATTAAGCTGCTAAAGAAGAAGAAGAGTTTGTTTAGTTATTAACTGTAGTTTATTGCATCACTTCATGCATTTGATTGATACATGGAGGGCAAGACTTCTGTTCTTTTTTTTCTTTTTTCCTGAGGAATAATCCAAAATTAGAAACAAATGACCTTCTTGTTAAGCTGTTGAGTGAGGAGAACATACCACGCTGCTTATTAAGAAAGATGCAGAATCAGTGCGACACAGGACAGAGAAGATACAGATGGCATTTGGTGTAATCCTCCCGAGAGCCTGAAATCTCTGCATTGGTGCTACAGTGTTATTTCCAAAGTTACGTGAGGGTTGTTAACGCCTCAGAAATCAGTGCACACATCATACATCTGAAAGGCTTCAAAAGCATCATGGTGACTTCCGTTAACTGTTCTTGCAGCAGCTTCACTAAACTTCTGTGTTATGAAAATGATAGATGGCTTTTTTGTTACGTTAAGGAAACCATTTATGATTGGTGTGACTTGTCTTTCAGCTTTCTTCCTATTTACAATTGTAAAACTGATGACTCCTCTGGAAATAATTGGAAAAGCCTATTACAATCCAAGAACTCTGCTTTATGACTTGCAACACACTGTAATTATTCATAAGTGCTATTCTTTCTGTCTTGCTTAATTCTTAATCACATCACCAAATAGTCCATGTCACAGTGCTGTTCACAGGGTTGGAATCAGAATAAAAATTTAGTGTTTCCTGATGGTAATTTTCTCAGATGTGCTTATTCATGCAGAAGGATCAGGTTCATCCTAAGATTTCTTCTTACCTGAGTATAAAACATACAGAAATGATATTTTTATCACTTCTGTTTTACTGCATCTCTATCTTAGTTCCATTGTATCTCGTATTGTTCTTATTTTTCATCTTCATTATAATTTATAATCCATAAGAACCAGGTTAGTCAAGCTCTTGGTGTTATTTGAGAAAATTCCCTTTTAGGATAGTTGTATTGTTCTGTCCACAAAATCCCAGCTATACTTATTTCTTTTCTTGTTCGGTTATGCTAGTTGCATATTCCATTCCTCTGAACTATGATCCATCTTTTGAAGTGTAGCTGTTTAGTAAGCAAAGCGGTGGCCATAAGGATATTTCTTTGTCTTTTTAATTTCCTATTATATTTTTGACTTTTTTTTTCCCTTAGAGCTGAAAGACAGAATATAGAAAAAAAAAATCCTTACAATCATTTTTCTATCATTTTACCAAGCTGTACTATTTCATGTGCATAGGTTTCTCAAATATATTTAAAGTGTCCCTCTCTCAATGTTATCTATGAAATTTCACCACATGATCTGCTTATTTGCAGGTGAAGTGGTTTCAGCACAGGCCATACAGTGGAGGAGTATGTGAGAAACATACATTGCTCCTTGTTTAACTTTTTTTTTTTTAATCTTGATCCTATGTGGAAGATATTTTCTTATTACTAGGATGGGAAAGAGAGCCCATTGACTCTGATTTATACATAATAAAATATTTTTTTGTTGTACTTTGTCCACCAAATAGATTTTTTTATGTTTAGCATTTATATTGGCTGCTGTGGCTTGGCTGTGTGAATTTCTTTTGGAAATGCTTTATTTGCTAAAATACATAATTTCATCTGTTCCAAAACTATTTTAAGTTTTACCTACTGTAAACCTACCAAACTTCCATTGTAAATTGCCACTATGAAACACATGAAAAATCTCCTTCTTACATAAAGGCAACTGTCAGGATAATGGTGTTGCCAAGTGACATGATTTTATCCTAAAATTAGAAATCTTCTAAAAACTTGCAAGTGACTGAATTATTTCTGCTGTTTGCTGTGCAGTGTTTTCTCCTTTTCCATCTTTAGAATTATTTACAGAATTGGAGATTCATGTTCACCTGATTAGTGCATATCCCACTTCTTTATAAAATGTGAAGGCAAAAGTTAAGTCAGATCTACAGCCTCCGTCTCTTGCACTTTAAGGAAGCTGTTCAGACTAAGTGGTAGGTGGTGAGTGACTAGAGGAGGGCTGGGAAGAAATGGAAAACTGTGGTTGAATGAAGTTGGTGGGAAGGAAAGAATTTATAAAGGAAAAAGTTGGAATAAGGAAGTTGCAGAAGGAGAAGAGGCAATGTGGAGGGGTCTGAAGAAGAGGAGGAGGTAGACAGAGGAAGGACTGTGAGAAGCAGGACATAAAATGTAGGAGGGTCATGGGAGAGAAGAGCAAAATCAGGCAGGAGAGAATGAAGGAGAAGGTGGGAAGCAGTTTATATGCCAATTTTCTTCCAGAAAACATTGAGAATATTAAACTCACATCCTTTCTTGAGTTTTGTCCTTTTTGGTCTGTTTTGTCACACGTGATGTTTTATTCTTTGCTTGTTCAATCTCTTTGCATTTAACAGTCTTCTTGCAGAGAGGACATTTTCATTTATTCCTTTAAGAAAATGTGAATTGCTGGTTTCATGTGGCTGCGGCTGTGCACTATATACTGGCATAGGTCAAACACTGTGGAGAACTTGGCTCGAGCTTTGTCTCCACCCGGCAGGTGGCCAAGCACAGCACCGCTGACTTCCACACCACTTCAAGGACAGTTACCGTTCCACATGTTAAATGACTGAATTAAATTAAGATGTTTCTATATCAGTAGGTTTTGGTAGTTGTTTCCTTTTGTTTAAAATGTTTGGTCTCAACAGAGCTGGTCTCCTTTTCTATCTAAATCTGAATTTCTTTCTGTGTTTTCTACAGCCTTTTCTGCCTCTGTTTTCTTTCATTTCTTTGTCTTTTAGTTTTCTTTTATTTCTCTAGAAACCTGTATCATGGGGGAAGACTGCAGTGCATAATGAAAGGGAGACTAACCAATTCTGGAAGATGAGTTAGTTCTGTATTTTCAGAGTTGGTAGTGCGTCCACAGTGACAAAACACTAAATACATTGTAAGGTCTGTGCAATAATATGTGGCATATCTAGGACTATAACTGGCATAGAGGGTGGGAGCAGCTCAGAGCAAAGAAGGGTGAACCACTGGCGTCTGCGAGGGAGGTGGTTTCAAATTCAATCACAGCCTGGCAAAGGAGATGCAGCTGCACCTGTGACATCTGAGTGATTTAGTTTCAGAGGATCGTTCTTGATGCTATAGGTGGTAGCATGAAAAGCACATCAAAAACAAAGGAAAGGAACAAGAACATAAACAGAGTCATCAGAATAGCCGACAAAACAAGAAAAAAGAAGAATTCCAGAACTTCAATTTTATGTGGTATTTTACTTTTCAGAATGGAAAATTCTAGAATTGCATCGTTCACACTGGGTTGACTTCCTCATAAACCTAACTGAAAGGTTTTTTTAAAACTAGCAACTGTCCTAATGCAACATTTTCTTAATGAAAGTTAATGAAATCTGACATATTAATTGTTTTTTCTTCTGGAGCTATTAAAAATAAAAATTCAAGTTAATTATTTCAACACTTTGTGGGCCTCAACTGAAACAAATGGTCCTTATCAAAGACTGCCTGACTGCATACCATGTCATGGTGAAACAGCCCAGGCTTCTACCCAGATGTCTTCGCTAAGACAGTGGACAAAACTAAATTCTTTTGGAAAGCTACATGAAATATCAATAAGTAAATACTGAGTAGACTTCATCAAAATGTCTGTTAGGTGGAGATGGCGTTAAAATGTGAAGCATGAGAACTTAAATTCTTTCCCAAACTTAGGTCTTCCTGTTTTAAGTCTACATATTGTCATCTAGATGTTCAATGTCCAACCCATTCTTGGAATCTGACGTTCTTGTTCTTAGCTTTCTTTGCCAAGTTTTGTAGTTTATTTGTTGAGAGAAGAAGGATTTCCTTTGCAGTGTGGATGACATCAGATTTTTTTTTTTTGTTATGAGATGGTATTTTTGCTCATTATGCCGTACAGGGAAGAGAAAGTCTTCAGTCTGTGGATATAATAAGAGTATGTATGCTGAGATGGTATTTATATATAGAGAGATATATATATTGTTTAGCATATATATATACACTATATATAGTGTGTTTGTGTATATATCTATATATACACTAGATTTTGTATTGTTCATACAAAAATTAAGTTCCATGTATGTTGGAATAGTCCTTCAATCTCACAGTGCATGCTGACACACTTCAACATTTCATTCTGTGTTGAACTGTTTGTGAATCTCAGTGAATGTCAATTAAGACAAGGAAATACTTACAGGGAAAAGAAACTGCCCATTGATTAATTCTTTTGTTACTTTATACTTGCTTTACAGGCCAAAGTTCAAAAAACATCAGCTCATCCCCAAGCATAGAGAGCTTGTCTGGAGGACGTGAATTTACAGGATCTCCACCACTGTCTGCGTCAAAAAAGGATTCCTTTTTCAGTACAATCTCCCGCTCCCGTTCCCAAAGCAAAACTATGAGCAGAAAAGAATCGGTAAGTTCTTTAACTTTTTAAGCTATTTTAATGTCACACTGCATTACTTGTTAGAGCCAGTCATTTCTCCCATTCATTAAGCACTTGCAGTTGAAAATGTTTCCCTAAGCATACATTAATGGCAAAAGCAGAAATAAGCTATTTCAACTGTTTCTGTTGAGTTACATCTCCATTGTGGCTTCTATCCCATAATCCCACCTGAAATGAAATAGTGAAAGAGCCTGTTGCCTCTGAGAAAGAGGAGGGAAGTCCTGTAAGTTTATTTGCTCTGTTAGACTTTTGGTGTAGTCTTGAAGTTAATAAACATTTCAGTGGGGAGCACAAATGCTCAGCAGATCCAAACATGTCCATCTGTTGTCCCTGAAATTCCTTAATACATCAGAGGTTTCCCAGTGTCTGTAGCATCTGTAGTCTGCAGTCACAGTTCTATTTCTTGCACAGCCCTGACCTGCCATTTGGCCACAAGATACTATTGTTTAAACAGATTGTTTTCATCTAAGAAAATTGGCTCTTATCATGGCTGTGTTCCAGAGAAATTCTCATCCCCTCAAAGATATTTTACGATCAGTACTTTGGTAAACCTCATATGCCATGGAGCAGGAGGATTCTTCTGTATTTTATATACACATTTCCCATTGTCTTTCTGCTAGTTAGTAACCAGCTACATAGTAAATAGGAAAAATTGTATTTTTTGGTAAGGTGAAGGCATAGTGGGTTTCTCCATTGCATTTTCACAAATGTATGTTCATAAAACTTCAATAAATAGGAATTGTAATAGCAATATTTCTGTATTACAGCATTCTTCAAGTGTTCGGAGGTAAATAGCGTGCAGAAGTTTAATCTGAACATCTCAGCATTTTTGTCTTTAAACAGCGGAATCTTTGTTAAGCTACATCATATTTTAAATTTGATATTTAGAATGTTCTAGTGAAATACACAACTTTGTTCAGGTTTTGTTCACTGAAAGAGAGAGTTTAATTCTTGTTCCACATGCTTTAATGTTGCCTAAGGAAAAGCTGTGTTTTGTGGTTAGTCAACAAGGAACTATAATTTTGGTTTCTGTCCATTTAAGACATACTGAATTGAATTTAAAACTAAAACAACAACTAAGTATCTCTCTACTTGTCCTCATGAGTTGAAGAAAAATAAAGATACCAGTATTGAATTTTTCTTTTTATGTGGTTTAACAAGATCTAAATCCAGCTTTCATTTGCAACTATTGTTCAGACCAGAACTTGGGGTTTTCGCACTAGTAGAGTTTAAGACTAATTTCTCCGTAGTTCTTAATAGGAGACATAGAAGAGTTTTCCATTATAATATTCATACTTAATTAGAATCCATTAACAATTAACATGTTTTTCAGGTAAATAATTTCCCAAATTTGTGATATTTTATTAATTTTTTTCAAGGATTTTGGACAAAAAAATATTCATTGGAATGGATTTGTAGTCCTTACGATAATTTTCAGTAGATTGATAATCACAGTAAACTCAGCGGAGCATATATTTTCAAAAGAATTCTTTGAACTGTGATATACACTTTATATTGTAGCATTTTATGATTAAACAGTTAGAAAAGGCTTTAGGCTACCAAAATCTATTTCCTTATGTTCAGTTTTTGACTGACCTTTAATATAAGGAAAAGGAATTTGTAGCAGCTCTGAGAGGAAAAGGTTTGTTTAAATCTGTTCTCTATTTCTCAAGACAATGTTTGGTTTTTGTTTTCCTGTAAATTTCATGATACCTGATTTTCCATGTAGAGAAGAAAACCCTAAAGAGTTCACCATGAGGTCCCAAAATAGTTGCATCAGAATACTCCAGTCTCATAGTTGCTTCACTTACAGCCATTTTCTGGAGGCAAAAAACAACTTGAAAACAATAGGTTCACATCTTTGTTTATAAAACTGAACTAGTTTACATGTTTGCATTTGTCTCTAATAATTATATAGATTATGTTGTTAAGTATTGGGGAAGTTACCTTTGTCAGAAACATGGGCATGCATCAATCACTTTATAAAAAGATGCTTTTAAGATCAGTCGTTCTTGGTGTAACAGATGAAAGATAATCCTTTTCCCCTTCATCTTTGTAATTCTAATTAATGGCCTTCCCAAGCAAAGTGGAAATGGAATACATACATAAAAATACGTCCTTCAATATGGAGTAAAAAAAAAAAAGTGATTTTCACAGACCAGAGGACATTGCTATAACATTGCCATGGGATGAACAGGAATGTCATCATCATGGGTTGCTCTTGGAGTGCTGTGTCCAGTTCTGGGCTCCCCAGTTCAAGAAGGACAGGGAACTACTGGAGAGAGTCCAGTGGAGGGCTACGACGATGATGGGGGGACTGGAGCATCTCTTTTATGAGGGAAGGCTGAGAGAGCTGGGTCTGTTTAGCCTGGAGAGGAGAAGACAGAGGGGATCTCATCAATGCTTATAAATATCTAAAGGGTGGATGTCTAGAGGATGAGACCCGACTCTTCTCAGTGGTGCCCAGTGACAGGACAAGGGGCAACGGGCACAAACTGGAACACAGGAAGTTCCATCTGAACATGAGGAAAAACTTCTTCACTGTGAGGGTGACAGAGCACTGGAACAGGCTGCCCAGAGAGGTTGTGGAGTCTTCTTCTCTGGAGATACTCAAAACCCACCTGGACGCCATCCTGTGCAACCTGCTGTAGGTGATTCTGCTTTAGCATGGGGGTTGGACTAGATGATCTCCAGAGGTCCCTTCTGAACCCTACCAATCTGTGAATCTCTGAATTTGTGAATATAAACATTTTTAAAACTCATTTTAAAAAATGCAGGAGAAAGATGGTTTTGACTGAAAAGAAAGTTTTGATTTGGACAAACCGTATATTTTAATAAGTAAATTTCTGCATAAAAGATTTCAAGTTAAGAAATTTTCCATATTTGGAAAATACGTAAGTTAAAAAAGTCCCAAGAATTTAACATTTCTAAGGAAAATCTAGAGAAGTTTATTTTATTTACTAAAATAATTTACAAACATGGTCAATCACAATCTTAATTTCTTAGCAAAAAAATCCTGAACAAAAGTGTCATGCATCACATCATTGGTTTTGATTGCACAGACTTTTTAATTAAATCAAATTTGACAACATATGCTATTGTCCCCACAAGCAGGTAGAAACAACTGTTACTGTCTGTGATTTTACATAGCTAGTCTGACTGATTTGAAGTTAGTTATGAATACCCCTACAGGTTAGAAAATTAATGTATGCCATTATTTTCAATTAAATAGGCATCTGCTCTTCTGATTTAGGAATCTGATTTTAAGCATACAAACTTGACAATTTTGCTCAAGTAGAAGTGGCATACAAAAATCAAAGAGATAATAAAATAAGAACTAGACAACCACACAAAAAAAATCATGCTTGCAAAAATTCCTTTGAAGAAGAACTTGCCTTTTGTGCATGGTACACATCTTGGAGAATTTTTTTACTCCCATATATCTTTTCCCTGACTATTATTTTTAAAACCTCTGTAAAAGGTTTGAAGCAAAATACTTGTCAGTCCATACTTACCAGTGCCAAACATTTATTTGGAAATGCAAACGCTATGATGAATTGTCCTTTTTTAGTTAAGCGTCATAACATGTGCCCAGAATAAGTTAGCATCTGTGTACAACAGCCAATTCCTTGATCAGTATGTTGGATTTCTTAGGCGTAAAGTCAAAGACATGATGATTGTTCTCAGTCCCATTAAGTTAATGAACTTCAGTGCCTCAACGTTTAACTGCAATTAATAATGGAAGACGTTTATCTTCCTTATTCTGATGTGATAGGCCAATTCAGACACCTGAAAAAACCACAATTTATTTTGTACTTCAGTACTTGTCTAATTTCAGGGACAGATGAAAAGAATATTAAATCCGAGATGCTGCCAGGTCGTGTGAACAGAGTTCATAGAAAAACCTCTGATATCTTTTGGAAGTGTGATTCTTTTCTCCTTTGTCTACCTCAGGCTCCCCCAACATGCTGTGACACAAATGAAAGAGCTGAAAACAGCACAAGGCAAAATAAGCTGCCTTTTAAAGTTTTTTATTAGAAATACTTGCAAGTTTCATATAATTTAGTAAAGCAACAGCTGTATGCATGAGTGGCAGCTTTGAATCCTAATGCTCCTTATCTTTTTCGGAGTGATTCATTTCAGGGAAAAGAAACTGTACTGTGATAAAAACAGGAAGTTAATTGCTTAGAAAAAAAGATTAATAAATACCCAAGTGGCTCTGCAGTGCTTTTTCTGTCATGTTATGAGCAATAAACATGTATACAGAATAGATCTGTGGGGCCATTTGGAAGATTTTAAAAATGTCAGTGTAAACTGTTGTCTTTCTCTGGTGAAAGAGATTCAGATACGTGCAGCTGGATTATACTTGCCAGTAACTACTGCACAGAAGCAAATTAGGATGATATCATTCGAGAGAAGGCAGTGTAAGAACTTTTAAAATTATTGGGCAGCCCTTTAAAACTGTCAGGGAGAATTTAAAAAACAGCAAAATCATGAATCAATGAGACAATCACAACATTTACAAAAGGATCAAAGTAGCTTAGGAGCCAAGAAAAGTGATCATTCACTCCACAGCAATCATGTTACCAGCAGCACAGCAGGTACAGAAACTTGCTCTGTGCATCCTCCTTCCACACATTAATCACGAAGTTCATGTTTTAGTATCCCAGTGGCAAAGGAAAATACATCTGAGGATCCATGTTGCCAGTTTGAGCTGCCCTTTTTTTTCCTTTTCAGTGAAAATCTCATCCCTTCATCCTGCTCCTTTAGATAACACCACAAAATTACTGTCCATTTCTGTGAAGAGCTGAGAGACCTGTACTGAACTCTCAACAAAAAAAATGGGCATGGATGAGAAACATCTCTCTAAATCAAACTATTCTTTTGGTTGGGTTTGGGGGGTTTTTTTGAGCGGAAAGGGTTTCTGTGTCTGGGAGATTTTTTTCCCCACTGAAAAAAATTGTAGGTAT